TTTTAAGAGCTTGATAACTTTTTTTTTTAAAAAAACGCATAAAATTTGCAAAATCTCATCGGTTCTTTATTTGAAACGTTAGATTGGTCCATGACATTTACTTTTTGAAGATAATTTCATTTAAATGTTGACCGCGGCTGCGTCTTAGGTGGTCCATTCGGAAAGTCCAATTTTGGGCAACTTTTTCGAGCATTTCGGCCGGAATAGCCCGAATTTCTTCGGAAATGTTGTCTTCCAAAGCTGGAATAGTTGCTGGCTTATTTCTGTAGACTTTAAACTTGACGTAGCCCCACAAAAAATAGTCTAAAGGCGTCAAATCGCATGATCTTGGTGGCCAACTTACCGGTCCATTTCTTGAGATGAATTGTTCTCCGAAGTTTTCCCTCAAAATGGCCATAGAATCGCGAGCTGTGTGGCATGTAGCGCCATCTTGTTGAAACCACATGTCAACCAAGTTCAGTTCTTCCATTTTTGGCAACAAAAAGTTTGTTAGCATCGAACGATAGCGATCGCCATTCACCGTAACGTTGCGTCCAACAGCATCTTTGAAAAAATACGGTCCAATGATTCCACCAGCGTACAAACCACACCAAACAGTGCATTTTTCGGGATGCATGGGCAGTTCTTGAACGGCTTCTGGTTGCTCTTCACTCCAAATGCGGCAATTTTGCTTATTTACGAAGCCATTCAACCAGAAATGAGCCTCATCGCTGAACAAAATTTGTCGATAAAAAAGCGGATTTTCTGCCAACTTTTTTTGGTAATAAAATTCAATGATTTGCAAGCGTTGCTCGTTAGTAAGTCTATTCATGATGAAATGTCAAAGCATACTGAGCATCTTTCTCTTTGACACCATGTCTGAAATCCCACGTGATCTGTCAAATACTAATGCATGAAAATCCTAACCTCAAAAAAATCACCCGTTATAAGAGTGTTGAGAGATCTCGCTATTTGCGTTGTTGTTTTTGTATTTTTTATTATTTTGCTGTTGATTCTAAGGCCCACATTCCAAGCTTTGGGAAGACGTCAAACTTTTTTTAAAAAATGTGATTGATTAATATAAAAAAAGTTGTAAGTGAAAAGATTAAAAAATGTTCCGGCGTACGAACTGATTGTGGTCTGGGTAGTATGTTTTAACCTTTAATTTCGCTCAGACATTTATTTTAACCATTTTTCGACTTTTTTGAAAACTACCTAGGCCGAGATATGAAAACTTTAGTAGGCCATAAAATAAAAATACGAGCCAACTTTTGCAAATCCATCGAGTGTTTTACTACTGGATAGGTATACTTTCAGAAAATGTTAACAAAGTCCGCGCAGGTTTCGGCTGTCGCACAATGTAATTTTATGACTTGGTGTTAAATATTTAACGCAAACATCTCGGAACTCGATTAAGAAGTTTCACTTCAAACTAATTTTGGAAAATTCAAAAAAATCTAATTAAATCGAATTTGCACCACCAAATTTCGAATCGATTAATCGAATGGTTGAGCAATGTTTAAAATTCGGAAAAAAATCGAATTTCAACCCCCCACTACCCATTCCTAATCACGCAATCGGAAATGAATGAGAAAAGTAAATTTCTGAGCGTCTTTGATATGTGCCTAAGAATGGAAACAAACAAAGAAAACGAAGAAGGCGCGGTGATTGAGTCCGATTAAATTAGCATTTATTATAAAACATAAAAAGTGAAACTTGATGACAATTATTAAAAAAACGTTCATAAAATGTGGTTTTCATGATTGAGAGTGTTTTACAATCGCATATCGTCAGCACGGGTCGATTTTTCAATGCCAACGTTCTGGCCACAAACGTGCCCCCACTTTTTACGAAAATTTAGGCCTTTTGGCTGACCAAACAAACGCATAAACTTGTTCCAATTGCAAAGCACCTCAGTTTATATCATAAATTTGTAATAAATCAAAATTAAAATCGCTCATAAAACACATCAAATTGCTACAAAAGCCATTCCGAAGCGATAGAAGACGATGTAAACAAAACGGGAAAACATCAAAAACGCTACGAAAACTTTTTTCTGAAATTCGATTACAGATACAACGATGGCGGATTGCGTGATCTGTAGTCGTTGGTTCATGGGAGCGAGCAAGTGGTACGAAATAGTGATGTAAAAATACGTAAAATTATACGTATTCTCAGACTTCTAAATTTGAACGTATACTCGGTACCTACAAGCAGGTCATGGTACAATAAAAACAGGTAGAAGCATGATACAATAATTTTTAGAAGGTAGTTTCACTTCAAAATTTTTGACATAAACCGTGTCTGTGACAAACACGCAATGTGGCCACTGCTACGATATAGAACTTGGGGATTATCGCTTGTTATTTTAGATATTTTTTAACAGAACATGTAAAGATTTATATGTTTCATAACTGATCACTTAATTTTTAATATAAATATACGTATTTTATACATACATTTTTGCCACTGCTAATCACATGAATAAAAATCATAAAAATGAAAATATAACAGCAATATTTCTTGTTTCTAATGGATTAGATCCATCGCACACCACGGACTTTATCGGCCGCCAATTTAAATGTGCTCGCTAGTCTTTCCATTGCACCACAACTTATTGGTCAGAGCGATTAAGCTGGTGTAATGTGCGCACCTCCATACATCTTCATGTACATATTTCAAGCGAGCCCTATAATTTAAATAGGCGGCCGTTATAGTCTGTGGTGTGCGGTGGCTCTTATAGCTGTGTCCTTACATCCATTCCGTGTGTTGCAATATCCACGAAAGCAGCAGTTAATTTTTTATGAAGAAAATTATTACAAAATATTTGAAAATTTCTCTACTTATATGTTTGGCTTTTCTTTGTTTTATTTTTCCAACGTCAAAAGCACGTTTTCTGTCAGATAGCTAACATGGCGGATAAGAAGAAGAAGTGAAACTACCTTCTAAAAATTATTGTATCATGGGTAGAAGCATGATACAAAAAGAAGGTAGTTTCATTTCAAAATCTTTGACAAAAAATAAGTTTATGAAGTTTCATAAATTGTACAAAATTATGAGCTGCCTTGCCACATTGATAGCAATCAAATAATGCATTACAGGATTTAATGTTATGCATGGGAAATGTTCGGTTATTTGTACAATGATTTTTTGGTTAGGAGCGGAGGGGGTAGGGGTGTTGTCACCTAAAAGTCATTAGAAAGAGCACAGTATAAACTTTAAGAAAAGTTATCCTTCGCCTCCCTACCCATTCTACAGGCACTCGGGGCCCATTTCAAAATTGTGTTAAATTAGCATTTTCGCAAAGAAAAATTAAACTCGTGTTCGGCCATCAGCAGTAGTTTTGCGCAAAACTCCTGTCCCCGTTGGTGACATTCAGCCGCCCTAAAAAAATAGCCTCATCAGTCCAACTCCGGTTACGCCATCCACAGTACATCTGCACAAAATTCACCTCCAAATTTACAGAAAAAAGTGCATAGGTTTTCCAAACCGAAATCTTTGTTTAAATTAAGGCTTAATCCTTTGGCTAGAGGTATATGTCAACATTTTTTTTAATACGCTTCCGCGTTTGGACACGATAAACCGAAAATCATTGTACAAATAACCAAACCGTGCCCAAGCAAAAATTTTATAAAATGAAACTGCAGTAGTTTACATCTAATGTGGATAATTCTTGTCATAAATACATAGGCTGCGTTTCTTTATACATTCCGGATAATCCCATTTCCCATCCGGAATAAACAGAATGCGTTTGAAATATACGTTAACATATCATCAGGAACGTTCTAAAGAATAAGTAAACAAAAAAGTTCATTCCAAACGTTCAGAATGAATAAAAAAATGCGGTCATAGTTTCGTGCGTATGTTTATGTATATATATATTTTTAGCAGCGCCACATCTGTATAAGAAAATTCCGAGAATCCAACAATTGGTACTGTTACACGTTGCAGGGCATCATTTTAACTCGACCTCCTCCCTCTTCAACGGTACATCGTTTAAGAGGTTTAAAAATATTTTGCGTCAGCGATTTTTCATCAAACTGCATTAGATAGTATTACGTACTCTATTCTCGGAAAAGCAAAAAAATTTATTTTCGAACCTTTGCACAGGTGTACCGAATTCTAGCTGCTTGGAAACACGCAAGACATTTCTTTTAATATTTTCATACAACTTCACTAACCTCAAAAATTGTTTTCACTTTTTCAAGAAACAAAGTTTTGCTGCTACTGAATCTGGAAGCATGAATTTAGTTAAATGTCATAAACTGGTTAAAAGCATGATACAAAAAAGAAGGTAGTTCCATTGTCACTTTTTCGTCGCCATATTAACCACCTGACAATTAAGCAGATTATGACATTCCGTGCTACCACCCATGATACAAAAAAATATTTTTTTTTATGTAAAACATTAAATAAAATAAATATTCTACATTAAAATTTGTTTGAATTCAAAAAAAAAATACATAAAAAGAAAAAATGAGCTGTTTATTTAATCAATGCCCGTATACAAGACATTTATGCAGAGGTACAAAGGTAAGGTTCTTCCAATTTCCCGTTATTCCGCACATTCGAGAGAAGTGGTTGCTGGCATGCGGTATTAAGGAGTGTGACTTTGCAAAGAATGAAATGTCGTTAGCCAAGAAGACTGCACGATTAAGCCGAAGTGCAGTGCCAAAGTGTAAAAAGTAAGCATGATAATCGCAAATGTGACCAAATTTTGATATTCATAATTTTCAGTAGTGAATCAGAAGAAACGGAAGAGAATTTGGAAAAATATCTCACGTATTTGGAGGGGTATGTGTGTTAAACTTTCTTATAAGCAACACAAAAAAAAACATGTTCCTTTGAATTTATTTAGAAGTGAAGAAAATCTGTTTGGAATTGAACCAACAGGGTCTTAGGTCGAAATGAAAACATGTTGTGCTCAGAAGCCAATGTGGAGAAAACAAATGATGCTTTAGTAAGTTTTGAACCTAGAGGACTCACACTCACACATCATGTCTTCAAAGAAATAAACGATGTTCCCTTGTCACCAGCAGAACATATCGAGGTAGAAAATCGTCTACTTTTATTACTTTAAATATAGATTATATTGCAAACATCCGTATACATATCTGTTGTAGCTTCAAGAACAGGAAGAAGCCAATAATTTTTTGGATCGCATGACCGCGCTGAGTGATATTGAGTTCGATGGCCTGGAAAACTTTGGCGGCTACATAATTTCAAAAATGGGCTTGAGTCAATTTGGATGCGAACATCTGCTGAAAATAGTCAACATTTTACGTATGTTAATTTACTTTCGGAGGGGGGGGGGGCTTTATAAACCAAAACCGGAGTTTTTAAGTTTTTTGGAGCAGGCTAATGCAATTTTTATCAAAATTAATGGGGATCTATTAACCACAAAACATGCAAAATTTATTGTTAAACACGAACATTTGTTTAGATAAAAAATTCTAAAGCGGTTTTATTTAGGTAGGACATTTTTTCGGATTAGATATCTTAATAATAAAATAAAACAAAACAAAATTGGCAGAGTTAATAAGAAAATGAAAAAAATTTTCGCATAGCCAATCACTAAAGATTTAGTTTTAATTAATTTTAAAAATGTTTTTAATTCAAAACGCTACTATTTATATATCAAATTTTTAATATAAAATATATGGATATTAACAATGTTTTTCTTGAAAAAATACTTTGTCTAAAATAAATTACTTAAATAAAATTAAAAAACTTTGAAACTTATCTTAAAATATATAAAATGGATACATGCCAACAAAAGTATTTTATTTCTTAAACTTTTTTCTTTAGCTATATTATCAATGACTTTAGACAAAATATTTGAATTAATTTTTAAAACAAAGTATTTTCCTTACTAAGTTTTTGTGTTATATGCCTCTTCATTCAGCATTTATGAAATCCACCATTTTATAAATAATATCCAATATATGATTAGAAATTACCCTCTCCTACAAATTTCCGATGTAGCAACGCTATGCCAAATGTTGACATCAGGGAGAATGTCAATAATCTGCTTTTTAATCAAAAAAAATTTAAATGAAACTACCTTGTATTTTTGTATCATGGTTAAAAGTCAAGTGGTCGGCAACAACAACGAATGTCAATAAATGAAACTACCTTATATTTTTGTATCATGCAATAAACAGGTAAAGTAATAAGGCAGCATTCTCTGTTTATTTTTTGACGTTCGGCTGCCTTATATTTCACAATGTTGCCTTTATTCGTGTGTTACTACTTTGGAAGTATTTACATATCGATGGCTGAGTGGAAGATCGACCAATCCCGGCAGCCAGTTCGAAAACGCTCTATCTCAAAAAACTTTTCAAGAACGCCCTATTTCAGAATTTAATTGAAAAACACCCTATCTCAAAATTCGGTTCAAAAACGCCCTATCTCACTTCAAAAAGTATTGAAAATATGCTGATATAGGGCGTTTTTGAATCGGAAGCTGAGATAGGGCGTTTTTGAAACGAATTCTGAAATAGGGCGTTCTTGAAAAGTTTTTTGAGATAGAATGTTTTCGAACTGGCTGCCGAGATAGGTCGATCTTCCACTCAGCAGTCGATATATTTTGGAGGCAATTTGGTAATTTATTTTTTGCTTCAACATTGTTTTTTCTAAAATTTTCCGTTTGAATTTTTTGTGGAAAATTTGTTTTTTTCAAATTTTCGTGGAAATTTTTGTGGAAAATACTATATAATTTATTTGTGATTAAAAAATTAATAATGCCTAAGGCAAGCTGTGTAATGTAATGTAATGTAATGTAATGTAATGTGCAGAGAAACGTGGACTTACGAAGGCGTCCGTTTGTTGCTGAATAAGTTGGATATTTCAAATCAGGGATGGAATTCCAAAATTTCAAAATGTGCCTACTGGACTGCAAAAATAGTGCCAAAATGGAGATGAGGAGTGCCACAAACTTGAAATTGCTTTCTTTTAAGGCTTTTAAGAACCACATATGTATTTTTAGAAATAGTATCTATTTTTAATGTAATTCATCGAATTATTAGAGTAAAACCATATTAAAATAACACAATATTCCAATTACGAAGGCGAAAAACACTTAAATATAAATATAACTATTCGGACCTGTTTACACATATACATGTAGGAATGGCCTTCACGTTTCTTCATCTTCTTGAACAAAACGCGGTTATTTAATTTAATAAATTAATATTACATACAGTTTATTTAACAAAACGCACATATTACAATTAAACAACTTAACGCTAGCAGAACATTGTTCTGCGCTTGAGGGCGGCTGATGCGATATCCAGTCAGTTCTGTTCGTATCGTTCTCTTTATGAAGTGCCGGGGTACGAAGCGAGCTGCAGCAGCAGTGACAGCCCTGCGGAACTTACGTTCACCAAGGTGGACGTCGGTTGGTGTGGGGAGCGCAGCGAAGGTGCTCTCAGTAAATTCCGCGAAACCTCTCCAATCAGCTTTAGAAAAATTGATATAGGTCCGGTGTTCCGCGGGAGCTCGGTTGATTCCTCGATCGAGATGACTATGGGCAGATGGTCTAATGCCAAGGTCAGCATAGGTCGCCATGATACGCTGTTTATCAGACCAGCGCCGGCTATTGTTATGTCTGGCGAGCTGCAGCAGCTGCCTATGATCCTGGTGGGTGCGTCGTCGTTCATTGTTCAGAATGTCGAATCTTTCCCCTACGATCGTTTGACAGGTTTGAATGCCAAAGATCGTAGTACGCATTAGTCACCAACTACCATACGGTTTTCACCTCTGAGGAGCGCACCTATATCAGGGTGATATCCTGACGGGCAGCTGGTGACAGGGGGTATATACACGTTAAATATTTTGAGCTCGATATCGCCTGATCGGATAGCAATGACCTGACATTCTAGGGTGGTATCTCTGCGGTCGATGTCTGCTTCGATAGGACTATACTATACGGTGTGGTGCGTGATGAACGCTAAGCCATCACCATTAATTATCTCGCTCGCGATCTCGACGGTGCATGTTGTATCCGGCGCAATTCAATAATGTTGAATTGCTGTGCAACTTCGTCTCTTGGACACCGCAGCTATCAATATACCATGCCTTCTCATCCTCGATCTTGCTCTTCGATCTGATGTAGTTGTTTGGTATACATATGCGGCAGTCCATCACAAATGTCAATAGGTTGATTACCCAGTTGCAGTTTTCTGTAAGAGAGGAAATTGGAGATCCATTCCCAAAACTCTCCTCAGTTCTGAGACTTACGCAATTGTAGGCATTGCTAATATCGGTCGAAAAGATAATGATTTCATACCCTTTACTCTTTAAAACGGCTATGCCATGAAGCAGATAGTTCGTACATACCGTAGCCGACCTATTTTTGCGGTATGCGAAGGAGTTTTTGGGGAGCAGCTTGCTTTCTTCTAGCATTTCAGTGAGCCTATTTTTTATGACTAAATTAATGCATTTCATCAGAACTGAAAGGAGCGCTTTGGGTGTGAAGTTCGTGAAGTCGTTCAAGTCCTTGTGTATTTTTGATATAGGTACCACTCTAATTGTGCGCCATTTCTCAGGAATTTGACTGGTTGAAAATATATTATTTAGGGCCGCGCGTAAATTGTTAAGCACTCCTTGTGAGAGAGCTTTAAGCATGTTGTAGGTGATTTGGTCTGTGCCTCCTGCATATTGCTTCTGAGTCTCACTACATACTGAAGCTTTTCAACACTGATGGCTAGATCATTTGCCGGGACCATCTCTTTATTGGGTACAATCCCATGATTTGTGGCTGCAACTTGACTTTTTAGATGCTGCAAGTAATTGAGGTTGTCATCTGACCACGCTAGCCTATCTGCGGACTTAAAACCCCCGCTTCACAAATCTACAGGCTGGATAGTCTTTGCACTTTTTGGAGGCACATTTCAGTAGCCGAAACGACTTGCTTAAGGTGTCGTTCCACCAGGCGTTGGGTGTTCTGTTTCCTTGCGGGGTGTAGGTACCTGCTTAACCCCTAATTTTTGCTTCAATATCGTAAATGTTCCGTTCGAGCTCTAACTGTAGGATACCTATTAGTAATTTGTTTTGGGCTAAGAAGCGCTGTTTGTGAGTGACTATAGTGATAAGACTCTATAATAACCGGGAAGTGGTGACCTCCACCAACTCTTTCCGGATCTTTTCTCCATACAAAGGGTATGTTGCTGTTGGTGAATGACCCATTGGGGGATAGCAGGTTGATCTTGAAAGTCAGTGAACCATTATTAAGTGGCCAGAAGTTGTGTTCCTCAATTATATTCTGAAGGTTTCTTCCCCTACACGATGTTACCAACATGTGTGGCGTGGTTTGCAAACCGATCGAAGGTTGACAAAAATGTTCATGTCTTTCAAATAAATTTTAAATAATAAAAATAATAGTGAAATATCTGGCATCTTCCGATTACTTTGTTTTGCTTTACTGTTCGTTTTCGCTCAATAAAATATTAAAAATGCATATTTCAAACATCGTTTTTAAGGAAGATTTTGTGAATTTGCGGGGGTGGCGGTTTTATCGCGAGTATTGGGAAAGGTTTTTGGTCCCGTCTCGACAGCCATAGTTTTACAGATCTTCCCGATACCGCCCATCCCGGCCAATTATTTATTAGGTATTCAGATTCATTTGCTGGCTGGGAAGTAAAAAGTTTTCCGCATTCCATAATTCACAAAAAAAGTCACGAGAAAACAACATAGTATATTTGAGTTTTGATTAGTTTCAGTAGGCAAATATTTATCCTCGAAAGTGTAGCGAACATGAAACCGTTTTAGTAATTTAATCACTAATTTTAGAGTCTACTTGTGGTCTTATTATGCAGTTTTTTAATTTTATTGTGTAACCTTATGGACCGCAAAATTTCGTATAATAAAAACTCAATTTGTTTGTTTGTTGTAAATTGGGTTTTAATTGTTTTTACCGATGCATTTCGGTTGACAACAAGTGTTCACTTGACGCTGGCTGATGATGGTTGCTCAGTTGTCAACCGAAATGCATCGGTAAAAACAATTAAAACCCAATTTACAACAAACAAACAAATTGAGTTTTTATTATACGAAATTTTGCGGTCTATAAGGTTACACAATAAAATTAAAAAACTGAGTGTAGCGTACATATTTTCAAATGATAATCCATAGAGCTGAAGCATCCATATGATTCACAAAACGCAAGAATTCTTTTGAATTTATTTAGTTATATACTAAACTGTTGTAAGGGAACGTGATGGTGTTCGGCAGTCTCTCGGGTTTATCTTCTTAAACTAACTTAAAAAAAGACAACGTATCTATTTTTTAATGGGTCAACTGTGGATACCAACGCAACCTTAATTGGGTTGCCAATGGGCAACGCCACTGACATGAAAATGTATTATCATTATCATCTTAGTTAAGTACTATAAAGTTGAAGATAAAAGACTTTTGAGATACCAGCAATCCAGACTTTAGTGTAACACTAACAACGAAACTGAAGTTCGATTTCCATCCGTAACGGACCCAATAAGATACCACATATTATTTCTCTGTTGTCAACAACTATCAAGTTTTCCGTTTTAATACACAAGTCGAGTCGAAATTTTACGCAAAAGAATGTAATTTTCGTTACGACCCGACTCGCGAAAAGCGGCGTGCCCTCGACACGACCCTCGCAATAATTATAGAGTCATTTTAAACAGTTATTTATGGATTTTCCGAGTGTTTTACGTATTAAATTCATTTGTTTAATTTCTTATATCTCGCAATATTATGAACTAACGTACATATCATTTAAAGTACAAAACCGCGTATCAACAAAATACAAAACCGCGTATCAAGATAATGCAAAACCGCCAATGTGAGATTGCATAAATTATTTTCTAGAGATTAAAAACACTCATATTTCAAAATGGTTCCCTTTTTTATAAAGCAATCGCATTTCTGACTAATATATTTCAGTACGACAGTCAACGACTAGCTATCAACCGGTTCGGACGTGTTAGCAAGTGTCATTGTCAGTGCGAATAAATAATACAAACAACAAGCCTACACAGTGTTCACTCTTCCTTTTTATTAGACTTTCGTAGTAATAAATAGCAAGTAATAACAAGCAAGTGCATCGTACAATACAAAAAACCGCTACATTTACATATATACACACATAAAATGCGACCATCACCTGAACCACCAGACAAAACAACAAATCGCTTCTCAATACTTGGCGAAATGGATACATACGACACCCACATTTTCCCTACATTATACCAAAAACCAACAGCAACCAACCAACTTAA